TATGTCAGTGGACTCGTGCTGAGCTGGCGGTCTTGGTGGCCAGTGCCTGGGTGCGTCGGTCAGTGCGGAGCCCTTCTGTTTAGGGTACCCAAAGAGGGTTTAGGGTAACCCTAAACCCGAAACCCTAAACCCTAACCCCTGTATAAACCCTAAGCCCTATCCCAGATTTACGGCTTGAGGGTGTCGGGTTTAGAGTTTGTCGGGTTCAGCGCTCGTTGTCGAAGCGGCTGTCCAAGAATCTGTCCCTGCTGGAACACCAGCGCCCCTGCCCAGAGTTTAGGGTTTAGGGTTTAGGGTTTAGTGTTACGGGGACAGGGTTAAGGGTTCTGAGTTTAGGGTTTAGGGTTACGCGGAAAGGGTTAAGTGCTTAGGGTTCCTTGCCAAACCCAAAAAAGTCAGAAATGTTGAGTTTTTTTTCCGAAACAGCGGTGCCCCTTCACCTAGACCCAGGAGTCGCCTAGGAAAACAAGGGGTTCTCAGGGAACCTAATTAAATGAACCTAAACCCTAAAAGAAAGGAATAAGGGCCTCCAAACAGAACTTGAAAAGCACCCTACTAACTCTAAACCCTCAACCCTTAAAGCACCAAACCCTGTTCCCCAAAACGTACTAACTCTAACCCCTCAACCCTTAAAGCACCAAACCCTGTTCCCTAAAACCTTGCAAACCCCTAACCCCAACCATGCCCAACAAACCCTTAAACCTCCTAAGCCCCTACCACCTGAAACCCCCACACCCTAACCTCCCAAACTCTAAACCCCAAACCCCAAACCCTAAAGCCAAAACCCTAAAGTCCCAAAACCCGAAACCCGAAAACCCTAAACCCTAAACCCTAACCCCCCCCCCCCCCCCCCCCCCCCCCCCCCCCCCCCCCCCCCCCCCCCAACAAAAAAAAAAATGAAAAAAAGCTCAGCAAGCAAAGCGGAGCGGCTCGTGGGCACCCAAGCTCCCATTCCGGGGTGGCAGCCGACCTCGGAGTGCATGGAAGGGTTTAGGGTTTATGGTTTATTTAGGGCTTGGGGTTTAAGGTTTAGGGTTTAGGGTTTAGGTTCTAGGGTTTTAGGGTTTAGGGTTTAGGGCCTAGGGTTTAGGGCCTAGGGTTTAGGGTTTAGGGTTGCGTTTTTGTGTTTTTTTGTGGGGCGGGAGACAGGAAGGGTGGAGGGAAGTTAGGGTTTGCGGTTTAAGCTTAGGGCTTTTGGCTTTTGGTTCTTTTGCCCAGGGTCTTGGAGTTTCAAGGGCTTTCGCGGTATCTTTGGGATTGTGAGGATTGGCTGGGGGTCTAGGGGGGTTTGCTAAACCCTAAACCCTAAACCCTAAACCCTAAACCCTAAACCCTAAACCCTAAACCCTAAACCCTAAACCCTAAACCCTAAACCCTAAACCCCGAAGGTTGGGCACATGCGAAAGGCAGCTGTGGACAGATTCCCTCCCCACGCCGTCTCAGGCAGCAAAAGGGGCTTAGGCCCGGGAACCCTAAACCCAAAACCCTAAACCCTAAACCCTCCTAAACCCTAAACCCTAAACCCTAAACCCCCCACGGGGATCCGGGGTTCGCCCTCGCAAGAGGCCAGCACGTGGGTCGGCTTGTGCCACCCAGCTCGAGGGGCTTAAGCGCCGCCACCCCCCCCCCCCCCCCCCCCCCCTACCCTCTCTAGGGGGGCGGCCTAAGCCTTGAGTTTAGGGTTTAGGGTTTAGGGTTTGGGGTTTAGGGTTTATGGTTTAGGGTTTGGGGTTTAGGGTTTAGGGTTTGGGGGGTTTGGGAGTCTACGGCTCAGGGCACAAGGCAGCTTCTGGACCTGGGCTCCTCACGACGAAGATCGATTGGCCCATGTGCGTGGTTGCACGGTCTAGCCTCCGGCTGGGGTTGAGCGTGTAGGGTGTAGGGTGTAGGGTTTAGGGTTTAGGGTTTCGGGTTTCGGGTTCGGGGTTTAGGGTTCGGGGTTTGGGGATTGGGGTGCAGGGCTTGTAGAGCTTTAGGCTTTAGGGTTTAGGGTGCTCATGGGTAGTTCTAAAGTAAAGTTGTAGGTAGGATACCTATAGTTGTATATGACCTACAGCAGGACGCAAACAACCCTGCTGATAAGCCTTCAAGTAGAATACTAAATCAGGTCGTTTTGGTGTATGGCATATATGATGTTTGTTACCAGTGTCCCCTAAAGGATCCATGTATAAACTCTACACTCACCAGAAGCGGCAATATGAACCTTGCAACCTTGCCTCATAGACATCACTGTCCCTGTAGGTGTGGATGCAAAGCGTTGCCGTCGAGTTTGGGAAGGGAGGGGACCCTAAACCCGAACCCCCTAAAGTGCTCCAAGTAGGGTCTTGAGACCTAAGAGCCCTAAGCTGCCCCTCAAACCCTCACACCTACCTACAACTCGGCTCAGAGTTCTTGCAGTCGAAAACAGTACCCTAAAACCCTGTATCCTAAACCCCTGGGCGCACACACACAGAGAATATAGGGGTCGAAAATGATTACGATTAGTACTCACTTAGGGTCCCTTTGATATTATAAAATAATGACCACCCCCCTTGTAACTATACCATAATGACCACCCCTCCCCCCCAACAACAAAAGAAAAAACATTTTAATTGTTGAGGCCTGTATATGGGCATCTCCCAAATAGGGGCACCCCGAATATACCCCCAAATAAAACTATTATCCTTAAGGTCCTTAATAAAAACGGCACCCCATTTTCGGAAACCCCACATTACACTTTGTTTGACTTATGGTGGACGAGCTGGGGACACCACTCAAAGACGACGGCGATGGACGGCATGGCCTCAACCTGTCAGTGGGGCTTTACCTCGTCCCCAGTTCCCTATCAGGGAACCCCCTAGACCCTAAGCCCTGAAGATTCCTGAACCCTAGACCCTAAACCCTAACGATGGCCAAAAGAAACAATAGAAAATGACATCATACAGCCAAAAGCATGGATCTTCGTGATTGTGCCCAAACTTCCAGGCCAGGCCCTCGGCAGCTCTGGGGGGTCTAGGGCGTTTAAACCAAAGTTTTTGGGTTCTGAGGCTTCAAGGCATCAGGAGTATTGGGGTTTTGACATTGTTTCCAAGGCTTCCAGGATTTTCGAAAATTATATTTGTGGGGTTGGGGGTCGCACGGCTGGAGCTAACGCTCCGCAGCCTTCAGGGCTTGGGGTGCTTGGGGCGGTGTCTCTAGGTTGGGCACTGTGGTACTAGGGATTAAAAGTACACCCTCAAGGACCGCGAGAAAAAGGGGGGACTTCCCAAGGTTTAAGGTTTAAAGGGTTTCGGACTTGGGATCCAGGGCGCACAGTTTGGGGTTTAGGGTTTAGGGTTTAGGGTTTGGGGTTTGGGGTTTTTTTGGTTTAGGGTTTAGGGTTTAGGGTTTAGGGTTTAGGGTTGAGGGTTGAGGGTTTCGGCAGAGCATGCCACCCTGAGCCAAGGTTTAGGGCACGAGAAGGCTCAGGCTGTTTCCTGTGTGACGGACTAGTCCTAAGCCCCAAACCCTAAACCCCAAACCCTAAACCCTAAACCTAATCCCTAAACCCTAAACCCGAAACCCCAAACCCTAAACCCTAAACCCTAGACCCTACCCTACTGTCCTTCTAGAGCCCCAGGGAGCTGGGGTGCCAAAACAAATCACGTGCAGATCCTCGCGCTTGTCAGTCGAGAGGTTTGTCTACGGAACGCCCCCAAACGCGGCCCCCACATGTCTCTTGAATCAAAGAAACCGCAAGTGTGTCTTGGGGGGTTTGGGGTTTGGGGATTGGGGTTTGGGGATTGGGGTTTAGGGGGTTTGGGGGGTTTAGGGTTTAGGGTTTAGGGTTTAGGGTTTAGGGTTTAGGGCTTAGGGTTTAGGGTTTAGGGTTTAGGGTTTAGGGTTTAGGGTTTAGGGTTTAGGGTTTAGGGTTTAGGGTTTAGGGTTTAGGGTTTGGGGCGCCCTAAATCCAAGACCCTGATGACTTCGTGCAGGCTGGTAGCGCGAGCCCCCTTCGCAAAGAGATGCTGCTCGGTTTCTGCCGACGTGTCTGCTGCTGCGTCCTTTGCCTGTGAACTACCCGAAAGGCAATGACGAGTAATTGCAGATGCTCGAAATGTTCAAGAAATGACTATCTTGATCATACTCAAACCAGCAAAATTGGGCTCAAGCAGTTCTCAGGAATGTAGGAATCAGGATTTATAAGGTCCTTTCTAAACGTAGTGCCTTATATCCCCTTCATGGAACCCTTGAAGGGTTTATATGTAGGCCACGACATTCCCGACCATCAAGAGACATGAGAAGCTCGCAGCGGTTTGCTTGGTGCCAGTATGGCTTGAGCCGCGGCGGGGCAGCAAAAACAGAGGATCACAGCTGGTCGACATGCTAAGCCCTCCCATAACTAAGTTGACGGAAGACGACGACAAGCTGACGGGCAGACAGGACTAAACACGGCGCTGAAACTGCATGTCTCTTCTGCCACTCCCCACTCCCCCCCCCCCCCCAAGTGAGGGCGCTTTCTTTGAAGACTGGGAAAACTTGACTACCCAACGCACTCAATTCTTAACATCCGGGCAAACGATCTTCAGCACGCCCGAATTGCAACAACGGACGATCTGCCTACCCACAGCCCCGCAAAGCTTGGCGGCGATGACTGTCATTTGGCGAAGTATTCTAGAACCCTTACTATGTTTTTAGTACTATCTGTTATTATCCATAGTATCTATTATTCCTTATTGTTGTTTACTATTGATCTACTATGTATTTTTTTGACGACTATGTACTATGTCTATTCTGATTTTGTCACATTTGTGATTAAGGTCAGGGGTACCTGAACCCTAGAGCCGCCAACCCAATCCCTAACCTTAACCCCAGCACCCAAAACCCGCCCAAAACCCGCCCAAACCCTAAAACCCCCAACCCTAAACCCTAAAATCCTAACATCCCGAAACCCTAAAACCCTAAACCCCAAAAATCACAAAAAACAAAAAAAAACTTAAAACCGAAAAAGAGCCGCCATGAAGGAAGAAGAGGCAGGCCGCCTGCGTCTGCGACATCGGCATGGCCATAGATTTAAACCTGGGGGATTCATTTGGGGGTTTAGGGTTTAGGGTTTCGGGTTTAGGGTTTAAGGTTTAGGGTTTTAGGGTTAGGGTTTAGTGTTTAGGGCCTAGGATTTAGGGGTACCTTAGAGGGTTGAGGGTTGAGGGTTGAGGGTTGAGGGTTGAGGGTTGAGGGTTGAGCGTCGTTGGAATCATCCCAACGCCCCCACTCTAGCAGAACCCTCCCTGAAACCCCAGACCCCTAAGCCCTTGCAACTCCTTACTGAAGGTGCCCTAAACCCCAAACCCTAATTTTTGCTTGAAGGAGTTACTGGCTTCCGAAAATCCTAAACCCCAAGCCCCAAAAACCTAGAACCCTAAATCCCCAACTCCCAAAACAGTCAAAGCCAAAAGGCCAAAGACAAACCCCAAAAAACCTGAACCCATAAACCATAAACCCCAAACCTAAAACCCAAATCCCTTGAAGCCCAAACGGTAAAGCCCTAAACGCCAACCCTAAACCAGCAAACCCCTAAACCCCAAAGCCGAAACACCGTCCTAAATCTTCAAACCCTGAACCCTCTAATCCAAAAACCATCCCGACAAAACCCGACTAAGCCCTAAGACCCTAAAACCGCCAAAACCCTACAGCCCTGGAAACCTATGACGCCAGGACCCCCCTAATCAACAGGAAGCTACATGGTCCCTTAGTATGAGCCCTTAATTGGGACCCTTAATAAACCTAAAATACCCTCTAAAACCCAAGTGCCCATACGTCAGAACCCTTTAACGCCGGTAAGGGAACATATTCAGAGACATTGTAACTTCCATTAGACCCGAGACCGAACTTGGAGGGTCATGGGTACTCATAACCCCCCCCCCCCTGATCAAGAGGTGTAGGGCACCATTGAGACCGGCTGGGACCTGCCATCAGGATCTGTGATCACAACCAAGGCATTGACATGCCTGAATGACGACGCCATGACGAAAGTCGAGTTTGTCGAGTCCTCGAAGTAGAGACAAGTCGAGGGCACAGTGACATCTTCGTTCAATCTGCTTGCTAGCAGGTCAACATCGCCCCCTGCCTAAGTATAAGTCCACGTATAACCTACTTAGGGGGCTTTAGGGGGCTTGTAAGTACAGTTGTCATTGGGGACATCAATGCCCATGAACCCCTAAACCCTAACCCTAACCCACAAACCCTATACTAGACCCCAAACCCTAAACCCTAAACCCTAAACCCTAAACCCCAAACCCTAAACCCTAAACCTCCAAGTAGGACCATCCCAAGACCTCAACGTTTTCCGTGGCTGCTCGGGCGCGGGCGCAGCCGGCCGAGGCACTCCCGGCGAGCCGACCATCGCGGGGGAAGGCGCACCTCAGGGTTTAGGGTTTAGGGTTTAGGGTTTAGGGTTCAGGGTTCAGGGTTCAGGGTTCAGGGTGGAGGGTTGAGGGTTTAGGTTAGAGGGTTTCAGGTGTGCTGCGACATGGCACAGAAGCTGTGAAGGTTGGGGGAGACGAACTAGCTTTCATGCGAAGAGCAGCTATTTATCCCACCCCATGCCGTCTGAGGGGCAAAACCACCCTAACCCATTCCTTTTAAGGTTCAGGCCTAAACTCCATTTTTCTTCTTCTCCGCTGTAATTACAGTAAGCTTCCACAAACCACCCAAACCACCTTTTCAGGGGCTAAGCCTGCCGGCCCTCAATTCCTCAAACCTTCTTTTTTTTTGGGGGGGGGTATCTCACAGAGACCGCGACAAGGGTTTGAGGGACAGCTGAACGGGCCCCTCCGAACCTCATGCTACACCTTAAACCCTTAACCCTGAACCTTATAAACCCTAAACCCTGAGCCTCCTTGCCTTAGTTGCTGAGCTCATAAGCCCCCCAACAACAAGTATACACTTTATAGGGGATGAGAGTATCCCCAAAAAAGTGTAAAGTGTCCTAGTTCAGCTACTAAGTCACACCCCTGAACTCCAAACCCAAAACTCTGAATCTGCCTTACGCTCTGATAGGGCCGATTGGGATCCTCACGCGAAGGGAAACCCAGGAATTATGGGCCATGGAGCTTGGGCCAGGAGGCAATCCCGAAACCCCTAGCTGCAGTTTAGGGTTTAAGGTTTAGGGTTTAGGGTTTAGGGTTTAGGGTTTAGGGTTTAGGGATGTTTATCGGTAGCAGCTAGGGCCCAGCTGCCCTAAACCCCGCAAAGCGTCCGACCTGAGACGCTCCGGACCGGCCCAACGGAGCGGCGGACGATCACCGAGCGGCTGACGCCTGGGAAGCTTTGGGATGGGTTTAGGGTTTAGGGTTTAGGGTTTAGGGTTTAGGGTTTAGGGTTTAGGGGTTAGGGTTTAGGGTTTAGGGTTTAGGGTTTAGGGTTTAGGGTTTAGGGTTTAGGGTTTCGGGTAGGGTTTTAGGGTTTAGGGTTTAGGGTTTAGGGTTTAGGGTTTAGGGTTTAGGGTTTAGGGTTTAGGGTTTAGGGTTTAGGGTTTAGGGTTTAGGGGTTAGGGTTTAGGGTTTAGGGTTTAGGGTTTGGGGTCTAGGGTTTAGGGTTTGGGGTTTGGGGTTCGGGGTTCGGGGTTCGGGGTTTAGGGTTTAGGGTTTTAGGGTTTTAGGGGTTTATGGTTTAGGGTTCAGGGTTCAGGGTTTAGGGTTTTAGGGTTTTAGGGTTTAGGGTTTAGGGTTTAGGGTTTGGGGTTTAGGGTTTAGGGTTTAGGGTTTAGGGTTTGGGGTTTGGGGTTTGGGGTTTGGGGTTTGGGGTTTGGGGTTTGGGGTTTGGGGCTTGGGGTTTGGGGCTTGGGGTTTAGGGCTGAGGGCTTGGGTTTGGGGTTTAGGTTTAAGATGAGTTTGGGGCTTTGGAGGTTTAGGTTTGGGGGTTTAGGGGTTTATGCAGAGTTTTAGAGGTTGAGGGTTTTAGGAGTTGAGGGTTTAGGAGTTTAGCTCTTGAAGGGTTTAGGGTGCAGGGTTTAAGGGGGTCAAGGGGTTAAAGGGGTTAAAGGGGTTAAAGGGGTTGAAGGGGTTAAAGTGGTTAACGGGGTTAAAGGGGTTAAAGGAGTTAAAGGGGCTAAAGGGGCTAAAGGGGTTAAAGGGGTTAAAGGGGTTAAAGGGGTCGAAGAGCGTTTAGGGGTTTAACGAGGGGCTTGAGGGGCGTTATCGGCTTTGGGGGTTTTGAGGGGTGTCAGGGTTTTAGGGGTTGAGGGGTCTTTTTTCGGGGAAAGTTGGGGGCTTTGGTGCTTCTAGGCCTTGTTTGGGTGGGGCATCCCTTATATCTCCTTGCTATCATTGTGGGCGCCAGGGAGTCTGGGGAGATAGGACCTGGCAATCCCTAAACCCTAAACCCTAAACCCTAAACCCCAACCCCCTAGCCCCCTACACCTACACCCTACACCCTACACCCTACACCCTAATTACACCCTAAACCCTAAACCCTAAACCCCTTGTATATGGAAAGCCCTCTCGCGACCGCGCCTGGCCGAGCCCGCATCTGCCGCTCCTGGCTAGGACTTCTGGCGCTTGAAGGTTCGTGGGCGACTAGGGGCTATTTAGGGTTTAGGGTTTAGAGTTTAGGGTTTGACAAGGGTTTAGGGTTTAGGGTTAAACATGATACGTCGGATTAGAAGTGCAACTGCCCTACTTAGAACGAAAGCAGGTACCTCCAGGTACTGGTTTATAGCAAGTCGTAGTGGGTTTTGGGGCCTCTGAGGGTGTAGGGTTTAGGGTTTAGGGTTTAGGGTTTAGTTTTTAGGGTTTAGGGTTTAGGGTTTAGGGTTTAGGGTTTACGGTTTAGGGTTTAGGGTTTAGGGTTTAGGGTTTAGGGGGTCGAAGGTGAACAGCCCTAAATTTACCCTCAGCCCTCAAGCCTCCGCGGCCGACAGCTCGATCGGCACCTGGGCCTGACAGTTTGGGTTTAGGGTTTAGGGTTTAGGGTTTAGGGTTTAGGGTTTAGGGTCTAGGGTTTAGGGTAGAGGGTTTAGGGTTTAGGGTTTAGGGTCTAGGGTTTGGGGCTTTGGGTTTCGGGTCTGGGGTCTAATTAGGGTTTAGGGTTTAGCTGGAAGCTTAGACGGCTTGGGGTTTAGGGTTCTTCGGGTGTTCCCAATTGCCATTTTTCGCGTAGGACATTACATATAAACGTATATATAAATAAAAAAAATATATAAATAAATAAATAAATATGTACATATATATATATGTATGCACACACAAACACACACAAGAGATGCTACAATATATAAGAGTACTCTACCAGATACTGGAGGTTTAGGGGGTTTAGGAGGATTTCCGGGGCTGGGTGTCTTGCTTATGGGCTCCTACATGATCCCCCCTGAACGACCCTGCAAAACGCTCGAAGCACCACATCTCGAAGCCCAAGCCACCCATGAACACCCGTACATCCTCCAAGCACTCGGGGGTCTAGGGGTGCGGGGGTTCTTGGTGGTGTGGGTCTAGGCTTTATTGGGAGTTTCGGGTTTAGGGTTTAGGGTTCGTACCGGATGAGGTCTTCGGGCTGTTGGGTCTTTGAAGGGTTGAAGGGCTCAGGGCTTTGAAGCGTTTTGGTGGCTTCAGCAAAACCAGGCTTCTTGGCAGCCGGCCCTTGCGAAGCTTTGCATGACGATTTTAGGGCTGTAGGGTGTTAGGATTCAAGGGCTTCAGGAATATTTAAGGGCTGTGGGGTTTTTGCATTCAAAGGCTTTAGGGTTTCAGAGCTTTAGGGCTTTAGGATTCAAGGGCTTTAGGATTTTCAGGCTTTTGGTTTTTAGAGGTTTTCTTAGGATTTTCGGGCTATTCTAGGGCTTTGGAGTTTTCACCCTAAACCCTAGTACCTAGACCTAAACCCTAGTACCTAAACCCTAAACCACCCTAAACCCTCAACCCTCAACCCTCAACCCTCAACCCTCAAGCCTCAACCCTAAACCCTAAACCCTAAACCCTAAACCCTCAACCCTAAACCCTCCCCTTCCGCCCGTAAACCCTATAGTCTTTGGGGCTTCGGGTGCTCCGAGCCTCCTCGGGCTCCTCCGGCGTCTCCAATTGCGGAGGGACCACCTGCGCCTGAATCTTCGAGGCCACAAAAGAAAGCATCGACCCTCAACCCTAAACCCTGAAGCCCCCAAGCCCTAAGCCCTAAGCCCTAAGCCCTAAGCCCTAAACCCTAAACCCTAAACCCTAAACCCTAAACCCTAAACCCTAAACCCTAAACCCTAAACCCTAAACCCTAAACCCTAAACCCTAAACCCTAAACCCTATCCTAAACAGTGAAAAAGCCCAGCCTTGCAGCCTAGGAACCCTGCACTCTGAACCCTAAACCTTGAGCCCTATGAACCCTACGATCAGCCAGTAAGTTTACTTGCAGGTTCATGGTACTTACGAGCCAAATCGTAATTGCATTTCTAACCCAATTATAACCATATTAGGGTAACTAAGCGGCTTGTAAGTGGGTTATAAGTGCGGTTACCCTAAACCCTAAACCCTAAACCCTAAACCCTAAACCCTAAACCCTAAACCCTAAACCCTAAACCCTAAGTACAGTTCAGATTGGTTACTAAGTACCACGAACCTTCAAGTAAGGGCGTCAGAATTCGCGGGCGAGTTGGGGGGTTGGGCGGAACGAAACCTTGGGACTGAAGGGGTCTAAACGATCCTTGCTATCGGAAACCCTGGCAAGGGGGCTTAGGGTGTAGGGTTTAGGGCTTAGGGTTAAGTTTTTTAAGGCTTAGAATTGAGGGTATAGGCATTTTTGGGAAGCCCCCCCCTGTATCGATGCCTATGAACCCCCAAGCTGTTCATGCTTCTTGTCGCGTGCGCGCTGGGCCTGGGCAGCTACCCGCTGGGCCTCTTCTGCCTGCTTTAGGGGGTTCAGGGTTGTGGGTTTAGGGTTTAGGGTTAGTTTCAGACATGAGTCTCGCCAAACAGTCCTAAAGACAAGTGAGGGACCTGACTAGTTGAGGGGGCTTAAGGGGTTTAGGGCGCTTCGGGGCTTTGGGTTTAGGAGCGTGCCCTCGAATGTGTGGGCCTAATCGTCCGAGATGGTGCGGAGGCAACCACTGGCCGAAAGCCTTAAACACTGTAGCTAGTCAGCTGGCCAGTACGGCTCTGAGCAGGACACGCTAACCCTAAACCCCGAACTCTTGTGAATTCCCTGTGAGTCATGGAGGCGTCAGGATCATCATGGGTAGCTCAAAGTGGGGCAGCTGAAACTACAGCCTAATATCACTGTGGTCAAGGTAGCTATAATCTCCTACTTACCCTGAAAGCAACCCTAAACCCTAAACCCCTACTCACTTCTACCCATGAACCTGCAAGTATCGACCTGTTTTCGGGCGCCCCTGGGGAGGTGCTCTCAAACCACGATTGAGGGGGGTGGAGTGGGATGACGGCTACAGGGATATACTTGGAGGTTCATGGGTACTTATAACCCAATCATAACAGTACATAAGCCCCCAAGCCCCCCCTAAGTAGGTTACAAGTAGGCTTATAATTGGGGTTAAACGAACACCGCCCATGAACCTTGAAGGGGTTGGCTGCCAAGCTCCATAGACTAGGGCTCGCAGGCTTTGTCAGGTACTTTCTGGAACTAGAGCTTATGTGGGGGGTGGCAGGGGGTACTTTCAGGAATTAGTGTTTCTTATTTGGGTTCACAAGGCACCAGTACTGCCATCAAACCCTAAACCCAAACCCCTTAACCTACACCCCAAACCCACTTAGCTGTACGGGCCTTGCGCTCATCCTCCCGCGAGCGCCGCAGCGTCTGCAAAGCGGTGCGGTTAGGAAGGTTCCTCTAGGCTTTTTTTAGGCTGTAGGCTTTAGGCTGTAGGCTTCAGGCTTCAGGCTTCAGGCTTCAGGCTTCAGGCTTCAGGCTTCAGGCTTCAGGCTTCAGGCTTCAGGCTTTAGGCGTTTTGGCTTTAGGCTTTAGGCTTTAGGGTTTGCAGTTTAGCAGTATAAGGGCCTGGTATGAATCCAGCTGCTGTTCTCCAGTGCGGGGAACATCCAAGGTGTGGTGAGGAAGGAGCGCGTGGATAAAGGTTCCCTCAGCCAACTGATTACCCCAGCTGTGTTCTCCGACAATCCCAAGGAAGACGTGCTTCGGCTTGAGGTCCACTCCAAAAATGGCAGGATCGATCTTCACTAACGTCGCTGCCCTTGTCATGTAACCCTAAACCCTAAACCCTAAACCCTAAACCCTAAACCCTAAACCCTAAAGACCCAAACACTTGCTGTGAAGCCTACGATCAGCCGTGAGGATTTTGGGTTTAGGGCCGGGGTTCATGGGTCGTTGAAAGCACTGCGATGAGTGGCCTCAGACACAAGTATAGCTATAGGTCTCACTACTTATACTTGGAGGTTCATGGTGTACTTATAACCCTACTTATAATACCCCTAAAGGGCCTTATAGGGGTTATCCCACTTATAAGTAGGGTTATAAGTACAGTTATAATTGGTTAATAAGTACCATGAACCTTCAAGTAACCCTACTTGTAACTAGACCCATGAACCTCATAGTAGGGACCCTAAACCCTAGACCCTGTTCAAGGTGTTTCGAGGGAACTTCAGTCCACAACATGCAACTGCCGCCCAAGAACCTGAGACTCTCACGACGGCGCTGTGGACGGGAAAGACTTACTGATTCAAAGGGTTAGGGTTTACGGTGTAGGGTTTAGGGCTTAGGGTTTAGCGTTTAGGGTTTAGGGTGTAGGATTCAGGGTCTAGGGTTTAGGGTTTAGGGCTAGGGCTTGGGGCTTGGGGCTTATAAGGCTTGGGGCTTAGGGCTTAGGGTTTGGGGCTTGGATATGCCTGCTGATTAAGAGGGCCGTTACTAGGTACTACCCAAGAGGGCAGCCAGACCTCCAGCTCCAGCGTGAGGTCCTGGGAGTTTGAGGTTTAGGGTTTAGGGTTTAGAGTAAGGGTTTGGGATCGAAAGTTGGGGTTGCGAGATTTAGGGTTGAGGATTGAGGCTACCCAAATCTCTCTTTTCCCGGCATTTTTTCTGGGCTGCCTGTGAATTGAGGGTTCTTGGACCCAGAACGGCCCCGCCCCGCCTCCCCCCCCCCCCCCCCAGCCCCAGGGATTTAAGGAGAGGGTTTAGGGTTTAGGGTTTAGAGTTTAGGGTTTGCCTCATCCTAAACCCCTACACCCACGGCGCCAAAACCCCACCAAAACCCCACTCTTAGCCCCCTCGGCCCTAAGACCAAGCCCTGAAGATCTCGGCTCAACGGAGAAGAAGCGCGACACCCGGGGACCCGGGCCGCAAGCTTATCCTGCGCGTCCTGCACGTGCTGCTGCCACACTTTCGCCTCGGCTTTGGATTTAGGGTTTGGGTTTAGGGCTTAGGGTTTAGGGTTTAGGGTTTAGGGCTTAGGGCTTAGGGTTTAGGGTTTACATGGTTTGGTTTTGTAGGAAATCCCTCTTCTGGGTCCCTAGTACCTACAGTACCTACTCTTTTGGGGGAAAAAAGGGTGGACAAGGGGGAAGGGGACAGTGGGGTGGGGGGGGGGTCATAGCAGTTCCGGGTTCTAGCCATACGATTTTGCAGGGCAAGCCCGAAGGCTAAGGGCTGAAACCCATAAAGGCGTGGGAAAAAAAAACAACACAGCTTGAATGTGTCACGGGTGAATGTGTCACGGGCAGTCCTCATAAAGAAGTTAGGGTTTAGGGTTTAGGGCTTAGGGTTTAGGGTTTAGGTTTATTGCAGCGTTGCAAGCAAAATGCACGAAATGCAACTGCTTCTGCAGATGATCCCTTCGAGTACAGGGGTAAGGGAACCTAAACTTAAACCCTAAAAAATGGAATAAGGGCCTACTCCGGGTCCTAGCACAAGGGGACACGTTACATAAGGGACTCCACGAATTGAAAGGCACCGTGTGCTGGCGCCAACTTATTGCCACTTTGGGTTGGGCTGCTTCGCCCTTCGAGTAACAACCCGGCTTAGGCTCTAGGGGATGGTGTGTCCCGTTACTTTCCTTAGCTTTGGAATAGACCCTGGAAAAAAGTATATACTTTTTAGGTAATAAGTAGCAATAATAGGAACCCAGAACAAAAGAAGTATTAAAGTATAGTACTCCAAAGCCCAGTTTCCGATAAGGGTTAAGGCCCCCCCTGTTAAGTAGTGATACCATGAAGACTCAACATCCCAGGTTGTGCCTATGAGACAGGACTTTTCTTTCGGAATGCTCGGGTAGCCGGCGGTATGCAATCTCCCAAAAGAGCCGACACTTGCCCTAAACCCTAAACCCTAAACCCTAAACCCTAAACCCTAAACCCTAAACCCTAAACCCTAAACCCTAAACCCTAAACACAAACCAAAACACTGATCCATCTGGTAAGGGGTTGTGATGGGGGGTGCTGCTGGCACTCCGGGCCTTCTCGTGCGCCTGGTAATGCTCATCCACCGCCTCGAAGGTTCGCACTCTGAGCATGGAGAGAGGAGAGGAGGGTTTAGGGTTTAGGGTTTCGGGTCTAGGGTTTTGGGTTTGGGGTTTAGGGTTTGAGGTTTAGGGTTGAGGGTTTAGGGTTGAGGGTTTAGGGTTGAGGGTTTAGGGTTCAAGGTGTCGGGGTAGTATCAACTAGGGTTTGGGGTTTAGTTCAGAATGGAAGGGGGAGGGGGCGAATTGGGGTTGGAGCGGGGGGGGCCTAATATAGGGGTATAAGGAAGGACCCCTAGAAGGGAACCTTCAACCTCATTCCGCAAGATAACCCACACATCTATATATATATATATATATATACATATATATATATATTATACCTGAGGGCTAAACCTTAAACCCTAAACTTATGTACAATTAAACCTTAAACCCTAAACCCTAACCCCCAAACCACACCCAGACCACAGGGCGCAGCAGGGGCAGCCGGTCTCTTAAGCCCTCAACCCCAAATCCTCACCCCAACCCCCCAATCACACCACGGGCCTAAACCTTAAACCCTAAACCCCGAATAAATCCTAAACCTTAAACACTAACCCCTAACCCCGCAACCACACCCACACCAAAGGGGGGTGCGGGAGCAGGCCCTAAACCTTAAAACCTTCAACCCTAAACCCCAACCCCCCAACTACACCGACACCAGAGGGGGGGGGGGGGGATTCAAGGGAGGGAGGGGGTGGGATACCATGGGGGCCGGGGGAGGTGGCAGCCCGAGACCATATATTATATAGATATACATACATATATATATATATATATATAAGGTATATATATATATATCTCTCTCTCTCTCTCCCTCCCTACACCTCTAAGAAGCCCTAAAGAACCCCTAAACCCTAAACCCGAAACCCTACACCCCTAAGTCCCCCTAAGCCTCCCAGGGGGTTCGGCACCCTCCAGCGAGATTTACCCGAAGAAGAGAAGGTCACGGGATGAAAGCCCCCGAAGGTTGCAAACCCTAAAGCTATCCTAAACAAACAAAAATCCAAACCCTAAACCCTAAACCCTAAACCCTAAACCCTAAACCCTAAACCCTAAACCCTAAACCCTAAACCCTAAACCCTAAACCCTAAACCGTAACCCTAAACCCTAAACCCTAAACCCTAAACCCTAAACCCTAAACCCTAAACCCTAAACCCTAAACCCTAAACCCTAAACCCTAAACCCTAAACCCTAAACCAACCAACCCCAAAACAAAGCCCCCAAATTTGACCACCGGGCTGGGACCTGTTTCAGCTGCTTTCGCAGCTCCTCGCTTTCACGCGCCTGGCTCTTTTCGGGAGCTGCTTGAGGGTTTCGGGTTCAGGGCTAAGGGATGAGGGTTAGGGTATAGGGTTTAGAGTCTGGCTTGTAGGGTTTATGGTCCAGGGTTTAGGGTTCAGGGTTTAGGGTAAAGGAAGAAGAGCGCTACTGGGCGTCCGAAACCCTAAACCGCTGAACCCTAAACCTCAAACCCCAAAACCCAAACCAAACCCCACCCCCAAACCCTAAACCCCCCGCCCTCTCCCCTCAGCCCACTCCAAACCCCAAACCCCCGCCTTTCTGGCAAACCGCAAACCCTCAACCCCGAATCCCTGGAGTGCCCTACGAATTCGGGTTTAGGGTTTGTAGTACTGTTATTGGTGCGTTTCTGGGGTTCTTTGTAACGTCTATACTTGGGCTCCCTTTTGAGGCTACTTACAACATAAGCCCTGCTTCAAACGCTTCTAACCCTAAACCCCAAACCCTAAACCCCAAACCCGAAACCCCGAACCCTAAACCCTAAGCCCTATAAGCCCTAAACCCTATCGACGCACCTGCCCAGCGGACTGCGACTTCAGCCGCGTGACCTCGTGGTCGCGCCTCGGCTCGGGTCTGCCCATGGTGCAATTTGGAAGATTCCCTGAAGTTCCCGAATAAAGGGGCCGTAATAAATTTGAACGCGGCTTTGGGGGGGCTACTCGAGTCTTTTATAAAGGGACCGTAAGGGAAGAATATTAGCAACTATTCCGACCCCCTATGGTAAGCTTCCCTTAACCCTCAAACCTTGTTAAACCCTAACCCTGAACCCTGAACCCTCCAACCTCAACCCTCAACCCTCGACCCTCAACCCTCAACCCTAAACCCTAAACCCTAAACCCTACCAGGGATTTACAGGGCTTCGGGCACCCTGAGCCCCAGAAAAGACGTCTTAGCTGCAGGCTCGGCGAGCTTGGTGCCCTCCGCGTGCCTAAGGAGCTCGCGGCAAGTGGGCAGTGGTAATCGCGGGTTTAGGGTTTAGAGTTTAGGGTTTAGGGTTTAGGGTTTAGGGTTTAGGGTTTGGGGTTTAGGGTTTAGGGTTTAGGGTTTAGGGTTTGGGGTTTGGGGTTTGGGGTTTCGGGTTTAGGGTTTAAGGTTTAGGGTTTAGGGTTTAGGGTTTAGGGTTTAGGGTTTAGGGTTTAGGGTTTAGGGTTTAGGGTTTAGGGTTTAGGTTCCAAGGAAGCTTCTGAGCCTTCGGCTCGAGAGTTGAGGGTTTAGGGTTTAAGGCCTTCACGCTGAACGATTTCCGGTTGTTGTTTCTCACAGTTCCGGGAAAAACCGCACGAATCAGGATACAACACCAGGATTTAAAGGGCCAACAGGGTATTTGTGATGAGGATCTTTTTGCTTGTTTTCCTTAAACCCTAAACCCTAAACCCTAAAATGTCCATTGCAGTCTGCGGTGGCCCCTGAACCCTTGGGTTGATCCATGTGAGGGTGCCAGGGGGGGGGGCACACTGTGGGGCTACTCCTCCCAGACCCAACGGTAGCTTCGGAAAAAGAAAGGTGCCCTTTGTGGGTTATCAAGGGGCTTCTAAGGCAACCTAACCCCCCCCCCCCCCCCCAAAAAAAAAAAAAAAGGGAAGAATAAGGGAATAAGGTAATAAAAGCCTGCTCTGGTTCCTAGGTCCTACTACGTTTTCCACCACACCAGCCCGCTCCGTTGCAAAATGCTTTTTGATGACGCCCTCCTCATCCTCTTGGCCCACGATGCGTGCGTGGATCTATTCCAACATGTCATACCACTTCAGCCCAGTAAGGGGAAGTATCCCAATCTCTGGAAACCCTATCCCGAAACACCACACCAACCAAGGGGTTGCGGGCGCTTAGCCACGCTGGCAGCTTTTGCATGAACCGCGTCTCTGACAGCAAGAGGTGAAATTAAGCCAAACAACCCTAAACCCCAAAACCGAACCAACACCCCCTAAACCCTAAACCCAAGACTCTAAACCCTAAACCCTAAACCCTAAACCCTAAACCCCAAACCCTCATCCGCCTAAGCCTTGAGAGGACCAGTGCAGGGAACTGAGCCCAGGGCTTGAGCTGGCCCTCCAACTCCTCACGAAGCTGTCGGGTTTAGGGTTTAGGGTTTAGGGTTTAGGGTTTAGGGTTTAGGGTTTAGGGTTTCGGGCTTAGGGGTTTAGGGCTTAAGTTAAGGGTTTAGGGGTTTAGGAACTCTTAGACTTGAAATCTCGCCTTCTTGTCTTTCAGTACAAAATCATTTGAGCGGGACAGGACAGCACCGAGAAAAGTGCGCCTCTTCGGGTACAACTTGATGGCTAAGGTTTTCTAGACTACGGTAGGGTTTCAGTTTTTCGTGGGCCTGGCGGGGGGGCGGGGGGGGCGGGGGGGCCTGGATGAACAGCCTCCCACCCACCCCCACCAACAACAAACTGAGAGGCGCCCCAAACTCTAAACGTCCCTGAAGTCCAACACCTTGGAATATTCCCTCTTATACTAACAGTCCTTAATACGGATGCTAGTCGGCAATAAGGGGGAACGTCCCAACCGACACCCTAACATCCCAGCCGCCAGCCCCCAACCCCCCATCGGTGTTCCGAAGCCGCCCCACACCTAAGCCCAGAACCCCCCCCCCCCCTTGAAATAACCTTAAGTAGGCGTCATTATCACTACATAGCCTTAAACTATGGGGGGAACCTGGCGGGAGTCGGGGGGTTGTATAGCGAGGGGTAGTACCCCTAAACCCCAACCCCAAAACCCCAAAACCCCAAACCCCAAACACTAAACCCCTAACCCCTAAGTAGAGGAACCCATGACTACACGCAGGGCGCGCCTGGACCTTGCCTGCGAGTCCAGCGCTTTGCTCGCCTTGGGGGTTCGGGTTCAGGGGTTTAGGGTTTGAGGGCTTAGGGTTTCAGGGTTCGGGGTTTCGGGTCTAGGTTTCAGGGTTCAAGGTTCAGGGTTTAGGGTTTCGGGTTTTCAGCGTTCGGGTTGTGTGGATGTGAATAAGGTTCCAATAGGCTACATGTACACTTACCCAACTATATGACAGCAGGTAAAACTAAGAACCTAAAGCTTCCCATGATTCCCTAAACCCTGAAGTCTGCACCCTAAACAGACACCTGTAGTGAGGGAGATTCGGCGGGCCTGGGAGCTTTTTTGTTTTGGGTTTAGGGTTTAGGGTTTAGGGTCTAGGGTCTAGGGTTTAGGGTCCGCCGACCCTGGCGGCGTGTTGGATGGGTTTGAGGAGGTGAAAACCTCCCTCTTTCCTTACCCCCCAAAAACCGGAGGGGGGGGGGGGGTAGGGGGCGTCGGTGCACAATTTTTTCGTGGAGGACCGCGCCACCCGCACAGCGTAAACAGGGGGGTAGGGGCGCCCTCAGCAAAAATCAGCGTTTTCCGCACAACCCCCCCCCACCCCCAACCCCACCCCCCCCCCCCAACCCCCCCCCCACCCCCCCCCCATCCCCCCCCCCCCCCCCCCCCCCCCCCCCCCCCACCGGACCCCTACCCCCCACCCCCAACCACCCTGTCTTTTTGAGCTTGTCCTGGTGCTACCCCCTACCCCCCCCAAACGTTTCACAGAACTCTGCCGAGCAGGCTGGGATGATCTTCGAACCATGCGAGCGGGTTTAGACCTCTCAACTATGCTCCAGCGGGGTCGGCGGCTTGAGCCGGAGGCTCTTAAATTTAGGGTTTAGGGTTTCGGGTTTAGGGCTAAGGGTTCATGGAGATAAGGCTATAAGGTTTGGGGTTCAGGGCTTCGGGTTGCAAGCCTGAATCCCAAAACATCCTGAACCCTCAGCCGTTCCAGGTCCGCCGGCCAATCTGCGCGACCAGCTTTTGCTGCTCCGCCAAGGACTGCAGTTGCGCTTTTAGGGTTTAGAGTTCAGGGTTGCCCGACACCCTACACCCTAAACCCTAACCCCTAAACCCTAAACCCTAAAGCCCAAAGCCCAAAGCCCAAAGCCCAAAGCCTAAAGCCTGAAGCCTAAAGCCTAAAGCCTAAAGCCTAAAGCCTAAGCCCTAAACCGTGAGACCTTCTGCAGTTGTCTAAGTCACGGTCCCTTGCGTGGCTCCTACATCAATACGAAGCCTTATACATTTGGGGCCTCGTACCCAGAGGGGAGCACAATTTTAAGAACAGGACACTTGGGGTTCAGGGTTTTGGGGGGGCTTGAAGGTTTCAGGCTTAGGTTTCGGGCTTCGAATGTACAGTTGTTTCGGGGCTGCTGGGGTTTGGAGCTTGCGGCTTGGGCCTTAAGATTGCTGCTGGTTTTGGGGGATTAGGGTCGGGGCTTTCAGTGGCTGTGGGGAGGGGTTGAAGGCTTTTTTTGTGGCTCAGACGTCTATGGCTCTAGTGATCTACAGTTTGAGTTGCTTAGGGCACTATAAGGTATGATAAGGCTCTGGGGCTTGAAGAGCTGCCAGAAGCTGGTATGCCGCTGTTTAGGGTTTAGGGTTTAGGGTTTAGGGCTTAGGGTTTAGGGTTTAGGGTTTAGGGTTTAGGGTTTAGGGTTTGGGGTTTGGGGTTTGGGGTTTGGGGTTTGGGGTTTGGGGTTTGGGGTTTGGGGTTTGGGGTTTGGGGTTTGGGGGTTGGGGTTTGGGGTTTGGGGTTTGGGGTTTGGGGTTTGGGGTTTGGGGTTTGGGGTTTGGGGTTTGGGGTTTGGGGTTTGGGGTTTGGGGTTTGGGTTTGTGGTTTTTGGGGTTTGGGTTGGGGTTTGGGTTGGGTTTGGGGTTGGGGTTTGGGGTTTGGGTTTGGGGTTTGGGGGTTTGGGGTTTGGGGTTTTGGGGTTGGGGTTTGGGGTTTGGGGTTTGGGGTGGGGGGTTTGGGGTTTGGGGTGTGGGGTTTGGGTTTGGGGTTTGGGTTTGGGTTTGGGGTTTGGGGTTTGGGGTTTGGGGTTTGGGGTTTGGGGTTTGGGGGGTTTGGGGTTTGGGGTTTGGGGTTTGGGGTTTGGGGTTTGGGGTTTGGGGCGTGGCGGCCTTGGGGAAACCCCCTTTCTGGCGCCTTGCGCAAGCTGGCCACGGACTCTTTCTCCTGCACCAGCTGCGCCACCTTGGCAGAGGGCCAAAAGGCCAGACTCGTGGGTGTGGCCTGGAGATACCCTGAACCCTAAACCCTAAACCCTAAACCCTAAACCTTAAACCCTTAACCCTGAACCCTAAACCACGCAACCCGGAGGGACTTTTTTTGCTTTAGGGTTGTCGAGGCGCAGGTCAAAAGCCAAGAGGTTTAGGCTCAGGGCCTAGGGCCACAGGATTCGGCGCCAACACAAGTGAGAGTACCGGAACTTCTGGAGGGTCTAGGGGTCTATGACAGCAGCTCCGGTCCGGATGGCACGTACTCCACATTGCTCACAAACACACCAAGAGGCAAGGAGGTGTGAGGTCGAACATGTCTTCTCAGAAGCCATGATACCCCATGTACGCTTCAATAGAACCCAACAGAATGTTGTCATTCAGCGAGCCACCTCCTTGCTGCTCCGCAGCATGCACACTGAAGTACCTGGTCCCACCAGGCTAAGGGTACCTGCGGCATGCGTTCTGGCAGCGCGTTTTAAAGCGCCGGAGCATCCCGAGACCAACATGTGACTGTACCCACCGGGTCAATCTGTTGGACGCACAGGCGGTACTCGAGACATGTAAGTGGTGAAGTCATTCTTTGTACCCCTAAACCCTAAACCCTAAACCCTAAACCCTAAACCCTAAACCCTAAACCCTAAACCCTGCTGACTTCCAGGAATGGCCCTCAAAAATCTTTCAAGGAAGATCCAACTTCTTCAAGAGGCTACGGGGCTTAGGGCCGCGCTGGGTTTGGGGCTTCAGAAGTTAAGGTTCTTGGGGTTTCGAGTTTCGGGTTTCAGGGGCTTCGGGCTTCAGGGGTTTCGGCGTTTTGGGGTAGACTAAATCATCAAGAAGATTCCGCAAAGGTTGAGGGCCAGGGGCCATCGGGCTTTAGGGGGTGTCAAGGGTTCTAGGGGCTCTGAGCGTGACAGTTGAGGACCCTAAACCCTAAAACCTAACCCTACACCCATAGCCTAAGAGCTCTAGGATCTACAGGGGCTTCAGGGTTTAGGGTTTAAGGTTTAGGCAACGCTAAACCTGAAACCCCACACCCCTGAATCTTAGACCCTAACCCCTAGGACCCTAAACTTTAATCCCTAAACCCCTGCAGAAAAAAGAAAAGAAGGCCCTCAGAACCGGAAGGACCCTAAACTTTAATCCCTAAACCCCTGCAGAAAAAAGAAAAGAAGGCCCTCAGAACCGGAAGGACCCTAAACTTTAATCCCTAAACCCCTGCAGAAAAAAGAAAAGAAGGCCCTCAGAACCAGAATCTTTTTCCTGGGATCCCGCACGGCAGCAGCCTTGCCGGCTGTCTCGGCGACCAGGCTCGTCTTTGCCTGCGAAGTCTTGGGGCCTTAGGTTTTTTAGGGTTTTTAGGGTTTAGGTTTAGGTTTTTTAGGGTTTTAGGGTTTTTAGGGGGTTTATAGGGGTTAGATTTTTTAGGGTTTTAGGGTTTTAGGGTTTATAGGGTTTATAGGGTTTAAGTTTAGGGTTTGAGGGTTTTAGGGTTTTAGGGTTTTAGGTTTTTTAGGGTTTATAGGGTTTTAGGGTTTATAGGGTTTAGGTTTAGGGTTTTCGGGTTTTAGGGTTTTAGGGATTTAGGGTTTTCGGGTTTTAGGGTTTTAGGAGTTTAGAGGTTTAGGGATTTAGGGTTTTAGGGTTTTGGGGTTTTGGGGTTTTAGGGTTTTAGGGTTTTAGGGTTTGAGGGTTTGAGGGATTTGGGGTTTTAGGGTTTTAGGGTTTTGGGGTTTTAGGGTTTTAGGGTTTGAGGGTTTTAGGGTTTTAGGGTTTTTGGGTTTTAGGGCTTTAGGGCTTTAGGGTTTTAGGGTTTTAGGGTTTTAGGGTTTTAGGGTTTTAGGGTTTTAGGGTTTTAGGGTTTTAGGGTTTTAGCGTTTTAGCGTTTTAGGGTTTCAGGGTTTCAGGGTTTTAGGCATTTAGGGTTTTAGCGTTTTAGGGTTTTGGGGTTTTAGGGTTTTAGGGTTTTAGGCATTTAGGGTTTTAGCGTTTTAGGGTTTTAGGGTTTTAGCAGCTGCATAAGGAGTTTCTCTTACCCTCCTCCAGGTTCTTCTCTTGAAGTCAAGCGTCGCCGCTGCCAAATGGACAATGTAGAAACTATACTCCCCTTAGAACCTGAATCAAAATACTATTTTTAATATACTCTTAGGTTCTATGTAAACGAAAATAAAAAATGCTTCCCAAGGGGGATATAGGAAAAGTGATGCGTTGTGTAGCTGGGGTGCGGTGTCCGGAACTGTCCACATCTAGATTTTCTGGTCAACACCCTGGCTCGACAAAATCTCATCCTCACATATCTTGGTGGCTCTTCCGAAATTAGGTACCTTATGGGAGTCCTTATTACTAAACCCTAAACCCTAAACCCTAAACCCTAAACCCTAAACCCTAGGGGGTCCGTTAGTTTCGTAAACCCTAAACCCTAGGGGGTCCGTTAGCCTCGTAAACCCCCAGATGAACTCGGCATGTGGCCATCTCTCGGACATGTCCATTGTCGATACGAATTTCGTTCATGTCGTTTAGGGTTTCGGGTTTAGGGTTTAGGGTTTAGGGTTTAGGATTTAGGGTTTAGGGTTTAGGGTTTAGGGCTTAGGGCTTAGGGTATAGAATGCAGGATAGATCAGCCAAAGCTTGGTAGGCCGGAGCTGCTGAGCACAATTACCTTTTGGGCCTTGCTCTAGTTAAACCCTACACCCAAATTAAACCCTATCAACAGGAAACCAATGACAAATCTCCAACTAAACACCAAACCCTCAACCCTCAACCCTCAACCCTCAACCCTCAACCCTACACCCTCAACCCTAAACCCTAAACCCTAAACCCCAAACCCTAAACCCTACACTTGATCTTAACCCCCTTTGCTGGCCCATGCTGAACCCCAAAGCCTATGACATAAGGCTGCCTGGTCCAGCTCGCGCCGGAGCTGCTGGCCTCGTGTTTTCGTGTCAGGCCCCTCGAGGGGTTGATTGCAAAGGTTCCTTGACCCACCCTAAACCCTAAACCCTAAACCCTAAACCCTAAACCCTAAACCCTAAACCTCAAAAAACAACACTAGAACCCCTCGGAGTCTGCAGCCCTCCGGCCTTGGGGGGTTGAGGGTTTTAGGGTTTAGGTTTGGGGCTTGGCTTGCTGGTTACTTACGGGAAATTGGGGAAGTGCGCAAAAAAAGGACATAGCAATACGAATATTCATATTCGTATTAATATTTTGCTTTATATATATGTATGTACATCTGTCACCCCCTCTAGAACCAGCGCCAAACTTAACAAACACCCTAATCTTGGGGTAGTTACATGGTCCCTTGATATGAGCCCTTCAAAGCGGACCCCTTAACAAACACTCCTTATGTACCCTATACTTACAAATTAAGGGTATTAAGGGCCCATGAAACGACCCTGAGAGTTCAGGGCTTTACGTAAGTAAGCCCTCAACCGACTGGGAGCAAAGAGTGCGCTACGGGAATGCCCTAATCTAGGAGCTCGTCGAAAGCTTCGGCCAAAAAATGGAACAATCATGTCAATCATGTCCCCTCACATGGGGGCTTGCAAAGATAGGGGTACCCTTTTTAAACCCCAAATAGAAGAGAATCCCCTTAAAGGGACCCCCTAAAAGAAACCCCCGCATAGGGCTCGGGGGGCGGCGGGGGGAGGGTAGGGTCTAGGGGTCAGGGGTTAGGGGGTTACGGTTTAGGGCCTTCGACGTGGTCCTGCTTGGGGGTAATCGAAGAAGAGCAGGGGTGTAGGGCACAGGGTGACGGGTTTGGGGCTCAGGATTCTTAGGGTCTGGGGTTCTTAGGGTTCGGTTTTAGGCTTTCGGGTTCTAAACCCTAAACCCTAAACCCTAAACCCCAAACCAAACCCCAAACCCCAAACCCTAAACCCTAAACCCTAAACCCTAAACCCAACAAAGTACTGGGGCCAGGGCTAGACTGCTGCAGCTGCTGAATGTCGGCAGCTCCTGTGGATGGGTCTACGAGACCCAAGAGTAACCTAGGAATGACTTGGGCTGAGTAGCTTAAGGGCCGAAGGGCTTGAGGGCCCATCCAGCTTAAGGACTCAGGGTCTGGTAGCAAACTCTAAAAACTAAACCCGAAATCCTAAACCCCAAACCCTAAACCCTGTACCCTAAACCCCAAACCCTAAACCCTGTACCCTAAACCCTAAAGCCTAAACCCTAAACCCTAAACCCTAACCCTAAACCCTAAACCCTAAACCCTGTTTGCTTGGAATGCGTGGTGCGCAGTGATTCTTACAGCTGTTTCCACACTCCACGCCTCGGCTTTGCGGTGTCAGCTAGACTAGGACCCAGAGTAGGCCCTTATTCTTTTGTTTTTAGGGTTGAGGTTGCCAACAGGGCACACTTTTTTTCTTCCCGGGTTAATTTTGGGTCTAGTAGCCCTAAACCCTAAACCCTAAACCCCAAACCCTAAACCCTAAACCCTAAACCCTAAACCCTACACCCTGAACCCGAAACCCTAAACCCCAAACCCCAAACCCCAAACCCTAAACCCCCTACCCCCCTCCTATGAGACGCCTGTCGTGTTTGCGAATTTACTCCCTGGGCTCCTCCTCGGTCGGTACCGTCCATACTGCACAGGCACCAAAACTACACTCAAGGAACCAAAAGAGGGGCCCTTATAAGGGACCCTAAACCCTAAACCCTCCACCCTCAACCCTAAACCCTAAACCCTAAACCCTCTTAGGGGTTTCTTAGGGGGTATTTGAGGGCTACTTGGGTATATAGGGACTACATAGGGTACATGTAGGGGTCATAATATAGGGGAATCAGACTAAGGTTCCCTTCTAGGGGTCCCTGCTTCTACCCCCAAAGTACACCCAAGGAACTGATGTCAACGCCGAAAGACCTAACCCACACAGTTGGGCTTTAGGATTCAGGTCATACGGTGTGCCTTTAAAGCCCACCCTAAACCCACAATACAAAAACCCTTGCAACAAACCCTATAAACCCTGAAGCCCGAACCCTAAACCCTAAACCCCAAACCCTGAACCCCGAACCCTAAACCCCAAAACCCGGAACCCTTCCCTGACCTGGACTCTGAACTTTTGGGACTGAGCCGCCACGGCCTTCCCCGCGCAGGCTGTCGAGCACGCGCAGGCACTTCTCGTACTCGGCCTGTTTGGCTTATTGGCCTCTTTGGAGCTACGGTTGGGGGATTAAGGTTTCAGTAGGGTTTAGGGTTTAGGGCTTAGGGCTTAGGGTTTAGGGTTTAGGGTTTAGGGTTTAGGGTTTAGGGTTTAAGGTTTAGGGTTTAGGGTTTAGGGTTTAGGGTTTATAGGGTGTTCTTGGTGGCTTATGGGTACTTTTGTCTGAGACCTAGACCTCCCAAGTACCCCGTTGCATGCGAGAACCCTGAATCCTAAGCCAAAGAGTGGGCCTGCAGCTCCGCGTACTGCTTCTGCAGCTGCGCATGCTCCTGTCTCCGGGCGTAGGCAGGGCCTCTTGGGGGACCCTAAGCCCTAAACCCTAAACCCTAAACCCTAAACCCTAAACCCTAAACCCTAAACCCTAAACCCTAAACCGTAAGCCCTAAGCCCTGAAGCCTAAACCATCGACTCTGGATGGTCTCGAGATGGGCTGGAGGTCCAAGCCGCTTGCATAACATAGGGGCCTTAATCAGGTCATTTTAGTACTATAGTATAAATATGTAGGGATGCCAAGGGAATACTATTAGTAACTATTCCGACCCCTATATTATTAAGGAAGCGCATGGAAAAGATTGCAGAAACATCCACCCTCGAGCTCCAGTAAATTTACCCTTGAGCTAGACGCTGAACCTAACTTGGGGTTCAGGGTTTGGGGTTTAGGGCTTAGGGTTTAGGGTTTAGGGTTTAGGGCTTAGGGTTGAGCATTGTGGGTACAACCCGTGGGTCCGGAATGGGCCATTCTCAGCAATGTGGCCCCTTAACCCAAAAAACTTGCGGCCCGTCTGGTGGGTCCTCTACATGAGGGTCCGTATTTTGCGGGGTCCTTATTCTAAGGCGGCCCCGAATACTTGGGGGGACCATCATTTAGAGTTAGAGAACTCACCAAATGGCCAGATCAAGCCCAACATGAACCCTTTTAGGGTGCGCTTCGGCCTTAAGAGGGTTTAGGGTTTAGGGTTTAGGGTTTAGGGTTTAGGGTTTAGGGTTTAGGGTTTAGGGTTTAGGGTTTAGGGTTTAGGGTTTAGGGTTTAGGGTTTAGGGTTTAGGGTTTAGGGTTTAGGGTTTAGGGTTTAGGGTTTAGGGTTTAGGGTTTAGGGTTTTAGGGTTTAGGGTTTAGGGTTTAGGGTTTAGGGAGCCTAGGATTCCGGGCACTCAACATACGGTCATCGACGCTCTCGAGATTCATGTGCAACCCTCCGGGCTCCTCCTCGGACGACCTGCATGCCAGCAGACAGGCTACGCAGCCCCCAGCTCCAAGATGTCCACTAAACTCTAAACCCCTAAACCCCTGAACCCCCAAAACCCCAAAACCCAAAAAACCCCCAAAACCCCAAAACCCCAAAACCCCCAAAACCCCAAAACCCCAAAACCCAAAAAACCAAAAAAAACCAAAAACCCCAAAACCCAAAAACCCCAAAACCCCAAAACCCCAAAACCCCAAAACCCCAAAACCCCAAAACCCCAAAACCCCAAAACCCCAAAACCCCAAAACCCCAAAACCCCAAAACCCCAAAACCCCACCCCAAAACCCCAAAACCCCAAAACCCCAAACCCCAAAACCCGCAACCCTACAACCTTAACTCCCCATCCTACACTCAAAGCCACGGCCCCAACATACCCCAACACTGCGGTTTAGGGCTTAGTTGGGGTGGGGTTCGGGTTTAGGGCTTAGGGCTTAGGGCTTAGGGCTTAGGGCTTAGGGCTTAGGGCTTAGGGCTTAGGGCTTAGGGTTTAGGGTTTAGGGCTTAGGGTTTAGGGTTTAGGGTTTAGGGTTTAGGGTCCCACAAACCTTGAGGGTTGAGGGTTTTTGGGCTTAGGGTTTAGGAGGAATGCGCCATCGGCCTGTGCCTTCATGGACCAAACCTTGAGCCCTGTACCCGGCCTCTTCTTTTCCGGAGTCTCAATCTGACCTTTTGGTGGCAGAGGTTGGGGTTTGGAGTTTAGGGGTTAGGGTTTAGGGTTTAGGGTTTAGGGTTTAGGGCTTAGGGCTTAGGGCTTAGGGCTTAGGGCTTAGGGCTTAGGGCTTAGGGCTTAGGGCTTGCAGTGGTTGAGCTTTCCAGGGTTGCAAGGCCCTGAAGGCCGCAGGCTGTTCGGCACGTCTCCAGAGGAAAGATGCGAGACCCCAGGGTTTGGAGGGTTTAGGGTTTGGGGTTTAGGGTTTAGGGTTTAGGGTTTACCAAGCGAAAAACGCAAAGCAACAGGGTCGCGGTAGCAAAAGTTCAGGTCCTGAATCTTGGGGCCAGCTGTGCTGCCTTCATGAAGGCATTACTCACTGTCAAGGGTTGGCGGTTATGTAGGGCCTCCTGCGGTGTATAGGGACTACATAAGGTATACATACATAGACATGTATAGGGGCTATGCAGGGGAATAAGATTGCGGGTCCCTTCTAGGGGGCTCTCCTTGTATCTCTTAACACTGAACTTACACCCCTAAAACAACACATAAGCCCCTCTAAACCCCCAAACCCGAAACCCTAAACCCTAAACCCTACCAGGACCTTCTCTCTTCAAGATTAGGGCTTAGGACTTAGGGTTTAGGGGTTTAGGGGTCTCAGGGGCTTTAGGGGTTTAGGGGTTTTGGGGGTTTGGAGTTGCGGGGTTTCGCTGCTTCAGGGGCTTTAGGGGCTTTGGAGGCTGAGGGCGCATGTAGGGTCTTCCAGGGCTTTTAGGGCTTAGGGCTTTAGGGCGTAGGGCTTAGGGCTTTGCAGCTGTGGGGCTTGAGGGCTTGAGGGCTTGAGGGCTTGAGGGCTTGAGGGCTTGAGGGCTTGAGGGCTTGAGGGCTTGAGGGCTTCAGGGTTTTAGGGCTTTAGGGGCTTTAGGGCTTTGGGGCTTTGGGGCTTTAGGGCATTTAGGGCATTTAGGGCATTTCGGGCATTTCGGGCATTTCGGGCATTTCGGGCATTTAGGGCATTTAGGGCATTTAGGGCTTTAGGGCTCTACAGGGGGTCTAACGGTTTACTTAAGGGCTTAGGGTTTGGAACTCATAGGGGGCTCATGGGTTGAAGGTTTGGGGTCTAGGGCATAGGGGTTTGGGGGTGGGGTGTGAGGGTTCCAGGACATGGAGTTACGCTCGTATGCAGCAAGTGTTGCGTGTCGGAGGCAGCCCAACACTGACACTACGCTAGCCTTCTAAACTTTCACCTCGGGCATTTCCAGGAGGGGAAACTGGACATTATTATCAGAGTCACAGTCCTGTTTTCCCTCTTGTGCCCCGAAAAGGGCTCAAAAAAGTCCAGCATCGTTTGGCATGGGGAACCCTAAACCCTAAATCCGACAACCCCTAAGCCCCAACAGCCCCCATAACCAATAAAACCCTAAAGCCCCTAACGCCCGTAAAACCCCCCGAAACAACCCACAAAAATCTAACAAAAAGCCTAAACCCCAAACCCTAAACCCTAAACCCTAAACCCCGAACCCTAAACCTTACACCCTACACCTCAAACCCTAAACCCTAAACCCCAAACCCTCAACCCTAAACCCTAAACCCTAAACCCCAAACCCTAAACCCCAAACCCCCAACCCCAAACCTAAACCCTACACCCTACACCCCAAACCCTAAACCCCAAACCTAAACCCTAAACCCCGAACCCCAACCCCAAACCTAAACCCTAAACCCTAAACCCCAACCCCAAACCTAAACCCCGAACCCCAAACCCCAAACCTAAACCCCCAACCCCAAACCCTTAACCCTAAACCCCAAACCCCAAACCCTAAATCCTAAACCCCAAAAGCCCTGAGGCTTCGGCAGCTAAGCTGGGCCACGGTGTCCGACAGGCGGCGCTCCGACCTAAGCCGCGGGGGCTGTGGACATCTTTTTTTGAGGGGGCTTAGGGGGTTTAGGGTTTAGGGTTTAGGGTTTAGGGTTTAGGGTTTAGGGTTTAGGGTTTAGGGTTTAGGGTTTAGGGTTTAGGGTTTAGGGTTTAGGGTTTAGGGTTTAGGGTTTAGGGTTTAGGGTTTAGGGTTTAGCGTTTAGGGTTTAGAGTCTAGGGTTTAGGGTTTAGGGTTTAGGGGCTTAAGGGCTTAAGGGTTTAGGGGCTTAAGCGCTTGGGGCTTAGGGCATACGGTTTAGGGTTCAGGGGCTTAGTTCCTACTTGGAGGTTCATGGGTACTTAGAACCCCAATCACAGGTCTACTTATATCCTACTTAAGGACTTAAGTACAGTAGCTATCTTGGGTGTATAGGGCACAGGGGTTTCTGAGCTTAGGGATTTATGGATGTAGGGATTTAGGGATTCCAGGGCTTGGGGTTGTTTTAAGCTTAGAGGATTTCAGCTAACGGCGTTGGCCATGACCGCAAGGTGTTTCAGGAGTTTCAGGGCTTGGTTGGGGGGGGGGGGGGGGGGGGGGGGTGGGGTAATTAGGTCCAGCCACATGGCGACCATGCGCAAAACATTGGAATTTACTGTGCTTCTACTTCTTTCTACAAACAAGGATGCTTGACGTTTCGGGGACACGACGTGTAAACAAGCGTTCATGCTTGTTGCGAACATGCCAAAAATGCTGTTTTTTGGCGCACTTTTGCCTTTGTCTACAACATATGGCACAAGGATGCTTGAACAAGATACACTTGCACGAACGTAGCCAAACCAAGCGACCGCATCAACTGAAAACGCTTTCGCATTCAGGACTGTTTCGGGTGTGTTCTGAAAATGTGGCACACCTGCCCGGGTGTTCCACATCTCCGACTTCGGAGTAGTGGTAAAACCCGTACTTTTTCAGCAGTGCCTACAGCACTCTCAAAACAACAACTCCTTGTTCGAAGTCACCTGGGTACATAGTGAGATGGAAGTTAAGAAAGCAAGGTGTCTACCTCCGAGTTCGCTTTCTTACTCAACTGTTGTTTTTACTGTCTCGTTGTTGATCTTCTTCGTATCCTGGCGTTGACCCAACTATGCAAAAATGAAAGGCTGTCTGTCATGCAGCCGACCTTCATGAGCCATTCCATAGCTCAAAACGGTGAATCGAAAACTGCATCAAGTCGAAGACCACCACACGTGTCCAAACCGGGCTAATGAAAGCAGCTCATGTTGGTCGAATGGGGGGTTCAGTTCTGTAGCTAGTCTTGTTGAGGCAAACATAGCTTTGTGGTCATAATATCTCCCACCTAAGATCCCCAGCAAACCTAGCCCAGGATATCCCCAAAAAGGGAAAGCAAGCCATAGAGCTGTTATTGGTGACCGAACAGTAGGATTTCTTATGTACCCTAAACCCTAAACCCTAAACCTTAAACCCTAAACCCTAAACTCTAAACCCTATATGTGTGTATTTCAATGGGTGTCCTTTTGGGGACACCCGGGCCGCTGAAGCCCTATCACACATACTTGGAGGTTCATGGGTACATAAAACCCCGCTCCAAATCGTCTACTTCTAACCTACTTGGGGGACTTAGGGGGCTTATATGAGTACAGCTAGAATTGGGGTCATGAACCCTAGACCCTAAAACCCAATACCCTAAACCCTCAGCCCCAAACCCTAACCCCTAAACCCTAAAACCTAAACCCTCAACCCTCAACCCTCAACCCGCAACCCTAAACCCTAAACCCTAAACCCTAAACCCTAAACCCTAAACCCTAAACCCTAAACCCTAAACCCTAAACCCTAAACCCTAAACCCTATCCCTAAACCCTGAACCCTAAACCCTAAACCCTAAACATCCCTAAACCCATGAACCTCCAAGTCGAACCCATGAAGCCGGCAGATCAGCTCAGCGGCGCCGTGATCTTCTCAAGCATCTCCCGTAGTTCCTGCCCCTCCGCCTGGAGCCTCAGGGGTTTAGGGTTTAGGGTTTAGGGTTTAGGGTTTAGGGTTTAGGGTTTGGGGTTTGGGGTTTGGGGTTTAGGGTTTAGGGTTTAGGGTTTAGGGTTTAGGGTTTAGGGTTTAGGGTTTAGGGTTTAGGGCTTCGGGTTTCGGGTTTCGGGTTTAGGGTTTAGGGTTTAGGGTTTAGGGTTTAGGGTTTAGGGTTTAGGGTTTAGGGTTTAGGGCGCAAGAGTCCCTCCGCCTGAAGCCTGGGATAGGCCCAAGATTCCATCACCCCCAGCACCCGCCAAGGGGTTCAGGGTTTAGGGTTTGGGGTTTAGGGTTTAAGGTTTGGGGTTTAGGGTTTAGGGTTTGAGGTTTCGGATTTAGGGCGTAGTGTTTAGGCGGTTTTAGGGCTTTCGGGTTTGCTGCTTAGGGCCGGGGGCGCAATAGACAGCGTTGAGTCTAAACCCTAAACCGCACCAGCTCTCGGCGGCCTGGACACGGTAGGCGCGCTCGGCCTGGTTGTATCCGCTGTGCGCGGACCTCTGAAAGAAATCCCTCCTAAGAGTGCCTCAGGCACAAAGCGCCACAATCGCCTGAGGCCGCACGTTGTCACATGGGACTGCTTGCTCGTTTGGCAGCCCTTGCTGGGAAAGGCTTGCCAGGGCCTGGCACTTTGCACAGGTGGCCGAGCAGAAGTACTGCTGATGCACTCGACTGCCACGGCTCAGCAACGCATCAAAACCGACCCCCTGCAACAAGAGGCACTTCCCAGTATCATCTTTGGATTCTGCCGACAGCATGACCCCAAACCCTAAGCACCCCACACCGTGCACCTTACACATCCTGACACACTACCCAACTACCTCCCGCAGGGCCGTCTGCCATGAAGGTAGGTGCCCCCAAACCCGTAAACCAACAAAAGGCACGAAAACCTACACCCTAACACACCAAGCCCCCAACCAAAAATGCAATGCGTAACTTTCTGTGTGGTTGCGAGGGGTTGGGGGGGGGGGGGGGGGTGGAGGGTGTGGGGAGTCAGGGTCAGGTGGGGCACCCGTTACTTGAACGCACATGGGTACTTGGAGGTTCATGGTACTTACTAACCAATTATAACTGTACTTATAACCCTACTTATAATACCCCTAAAGGGCCTGATAGGGCTTATCCCACTCATAAGTAGGGTTATAAGTACAGTTAGAATTGATTAGTAAGTACCATGAGCCTTCAAGTAGCTGTAAGTAGGGCCATAAGTACCCTAGCTAAGGTTATAACTTATAACTATAGTTCTCCTACTTCTAACCCTACTCTACCCATGCACCCCCAAGTAGGGAAGTAAATCACCCTCCCCAAGCCCAAAACCCAAAGCCTAAGCCCTAAACCCTAAACCCTAAACCCTATCCCTAAACCCTAAACACTAAACCCCAAACCCTATACCCTAAACCCTAAGCCCTAAACCCTAAACCCTAAACCCTAAGCTTTTTTGCGCATGTTGGATCTATACGGAGCCGGAGATTCACGCAGGCCGGGGATGGAAAAGTGCTCTGGCCTGCTCCCTAAGAACTCGAAACCCTAAACCCTAAACCCTCTTCCCCAAACCCCTGACCCTAAACCCTAAACCCTAAACCCTAAACCCTAAACCCTAAACCCTAAACCCTGAACCCCAGAAGGTTTAGGTGCTTCGTGGTTGAATAGAATGCTTGCAGCCCTGGCCTCTCGATCTCCTCCTGGCTCTCCTGAAGCTGCTTGCCGACCTTTCCACGGCTCAGGGCTTCTAGGGTTTAGGGTTTAGGGTTTAGGGTTTAGGGTTTAGGGTTTAGGGTTTAGGGTTTAGGGTTTAGGGTTTAGGGTTTAGGGTTTAGGGTTTAGGGTTCTGAGGGCTTTTGCTAGGCTGCCCAGTAACCAAGGCGTAGAAAGGGTGCCGTTTTTTGCTGACAGGGGTTTATAGGGGAACCTAAAGCCACCAAAAAGGGAATAAGGGTACTACTGGGCATCCTAGTTTGGTTGATTTAGGGGGTAGGGTTTAGGATTTAGGGTTTGGGATTTAGGGTTTAGGAGTAAGGTTTAGGGTTTACGGCTTGGGGTTGGGTTTGGGGTTTAGGGATTCTTAACCGGGATCACTCTTTTTTACGGGTGCGCGGCGTCGTCGCCCTCCAGTGGTGAAACTTACAGAGTTTGAGGTTTTGGGTTTAGGGTTTAGGGTTTAGGGTTTATTTCGGGTACGAAGCCCGAAACTCTAAACCCCAAGCCCTCACGCCCCCACCGACCTCCGCAGCATGTGTACTTGGAGGTTCGTGGTACTTGATGAGTAAAAATAGCCCCTTAGTTACCCGAATAAGGTTAAAATTGCGTTATATGTGCATTTACTAGGTTGCCCAGTAACCAGGGATTAAAAAGGGTGCCCTTTTTTGCTTAAAGGGATTTATAAGGGAACCTAAGCCCCCCCAAAAAGGGAATAAGGGTACTACTGGGCATCCTAGATCATTATTTGGATAGCAAGTACCATGAACCTCCAGGGAGAGAAAGAACAAGGGATGATTGCAGGCGTCGGTAGTTGGCAGCACCCGAAACCCTCAACCCGAAACCCTGTGAACCCCAAACCCTGTAAACCCCAAACCCTGTAAACCCTGAACCCTGTAAACCCTGAACCCTGAACCCTGAACCCTGAACCCTGAACCCTAAACCCTAAACCCTAAACCCTAAACCCTAAACCCTTCGCACCCTGAACCCTAAACCCTTCGCCTCCAGGCTCCGCGTCTGCGACGCCTCCTCGCGGCTCGACAGCTCCGAGGTCGAAGCCTCCAGCTCCTTCCCGAAGGGTCGTGGGGTTTAGGGTTTAGGGTTTAGGGTTTAGGGTTTAGGGTTTAGGGTTTAGGGTTTAGGGTTTAGGGTTTAGGGTTTAGGGTTTAGGGTTTAGGGTTTAGGGTTTAGGGTTTAGGGTTTAGGGTTTAGGCTAAAGGGTTTAGGTTTCGGGGTTCAGGGTTTAGGGCTTGGGGTTTTCGGTTGAGGGTTTCGGGGCCCGAAGGGGGATTTAAACCTTGGGGGGCTTGGGGAATTATTTCGGGTTCGCTGGATTTGGGAATTTCGCAGTTCGAGCTTATAATGGGGCGGAGGTGGTCTTAGCGTTTAACCCGAAGTCGAGCATGTCGGGCTTCAGGTTTAGGGTTTAGGGTTTAGGGTTTAGGGTTTAGGGTTTAGGGTTTAGGGTTTAGGGTTTAGGGTTTAGGGTTTAGGGTTTAGGTTTTAGGGTTTAGGGTTTAGGGTTTAGGGTTTAGGGTGTAAGCAAAACCCTAAACTCGAAACGCTAAACTAAACACCAGAAACTTGGATCTCAAACCTCAGCCT